GCTTGGTGATAGGTAGTTGGATTTTATTTTTATTTAATATTTTTACCAAAGTCGCATTTTTTTGTATAATGCAGGAATGTTCTCTGCCCTTGGTAATGAGGCTTTGTATGCCAACCGGAGTTTGTTTGCTTGTTCATTGTTGTCAGTTTGTAAGACTGGAGTGTGTAGTCCCAAAATGTCTAGCTGATTTTTCTGTCTTGTTATCTCCTGCTCTTTGAAACCTGTCTCGTTCATCTCTTTTCTGTTCCTGTCTATATGATTTGGACAGTCCAGTTGTGTTTTTTTGTGCCAGGTTCGTGTGAGGTTCTTGAGACCTCTGATACTTTTGACCCCCCAACGACGCCCAATACTCTTGATCCCCATGACCCCAGGTACCTTTGACCACCCGGACCCCTGGTACCTTTCATCCCCATGACCCCTGGTACCTTTGACCACCCGGACCCCTGGTACCTTTCATCCCCATGACCCCTGGTACCTTCGACCCCCCCCAGGACCTGACCCCTGATAACCGTGTGACCTTTCTCTCTATTGACCCCTACAGAGAGGTCACGGCCAGGACATGAGGCCCGGCCTCGGTTTCCCCACAAAATGGAGATAGTTTGAAACTGTTCCACGCGTGTTTTCTTGCTTTCCCCTCACTGTGGGTTTTTCTCACAGTGATCTGGACTGTTTGTTGTTGACTCCAGATTTTTGTGCCTAAAGCATGCAGAACCAATACTGAATTCCAAAATTTTTACTTGTCTTTTTCTTCATATGTTTTTTTTTTTCTATGCAGCGTTGTATTCCAAAGAATAAATGACTTTTCTGTAAGCCAAATGTCGCTAGTTGGGGATTTGTGTATTTGGCTGGTGTGTGGATAATGGTGTCAGTGTCAGTGTCATTGTTGTCAGAGCTGACGTTGACAGGTGACTGTCATATTGCACATATATTTTCCTGTATTGATCAAGTAGGCGGTTGGAGGGTGCCACGGGTTGGTCGTCCTGCTATACTTTCCCGCTTTGTTGTTTTTGGCTATCCGTCTTACTTTTGTACTTGCACTAAGTGACTGTTATTGTGTCTGAGAGTTTGTCTTCCAAACTAAAAAACTGCTGATTATGGCCTTGATAAACCCGAGAAAGCAATAATCCAAACTTTTATTCAACTGTCCTAGTGTAGTAGGAATCAAACCTAGTTTGGTCTGGTGTGGTTTGCTCCTGCTGTCCTATTTTTCATCTTTATCTCTCTTTATTCTTTTCTTTGTATGTTACTCTCTAGTATTAAAATTTCTAATCTTCGGCTTTTTATGACCTATTTGTGTTGCAAGTGCTTTAAAACTCTTACAAGTATAATGTTGATTTGAAGCTTCTTTTTCCCTGGGCTATTAATGCATCATTGGTCTCCCAGTGTCTGTGAGTGGAACTGTCCTGACGCACTCCCACGCTTTCACACACACGTGCACACACTCTCACTGCACACACACCGTAAAACATGCACTCAGGTGTGCTTTCAACGTGATGTCAGAAATCATTTGATGTGTTGGTATGTGTTTACCGGCGAGTGGGTTTATTTGTTTGTCTGTTTGTGCGTACTGAAATGTAAAATGTTGAAGGGGTTTGCCTTCTGCTCATGGGTGGTTGGAGGGTGTCACAGGTTGGTCCTACTGGTTACCTATCCCTGTGTTGTTTGCTTTTTTTTATCGTTGCTTTTCTCACAGCCCTAAATGACCATTATTGAGTAGATGTGCTTCTTTTTATTCAGCAACATGCTGCCTACTGCTCAAATGTGATGATGGAAGTAAGGAAAATGAAGGGGGTGGAATATTCTCCTCTTACGTGCAATCTATGAGTAGCTTGTTTTTAAAAAAAATACTGTTGAAATTATTCCAAGACGATGCTACCCATTGTCAAGGAGAAAAATGGTTGTCTTAGCCAGGTGAACATCTTGGACAGTGTCATTATAATATATGGAAAAACATGCAAGGGGGGAAGCGGGAAGTTACCCGATGGACAGATGATTGTCTTGGACAGGTTGCTGTTTGAGGAGGTTCAAAGTGGGTAGTTGGCGGGAGATCTGGTGTGGTGTGTCCTTTTTTTCCTTTAAAAAGATATGTTGTCCTTATCCCTCTTTCTTTTCTTTGTATGTTACTCTCTTGTAGTAACACCTCTAATCTTTGGCACTTATTTGACCTATCTATGGTGCAAGTGCTGTGAAACTTTGACTAAACCTGAAGCTCAAGAGCAGGTGCTGCGACTGTACCTTTTTGTGTGACTGCCCTGTGGTATATAGAGAGAGAAGAATGTCGTTGCCCCAGCAATAAGACTGGTTAACAGAGGCAGAGATAGTTGTACAGGTGAAGCAAAAAAACTTATATGATTTCATCATATAGCAACATGGCAGCCAGCAGGTTGTTCGGCTTTATTTTTAAGGTTTTAGAAGTATTTTTTGCCAAAATCCATACCTATCTTTGATCAAGCATATGAAATGGACAATTCACAATTGATTCAAACGCAAAAAAAAAGAAAGATAGATTGTGGGTTAGCCTGTCTTATTGCAAGGGCGAGGATGTGTTGCTTGTAGCAGTGGACAGTTTCAAACTAGCTCCAGTGCGGTGGGTCGCCTGGAGTGGAGGGGCGCCCGCTCGGTGGGGTGTGTTGTGTGCGCAGAGAGGTAAGCTGGAGCATGAGGACTCTTGGATGTCTCGGTGTTGTCTGGTTGGGGGCAGACCTCATTCCTCTCCCCGCCCCTCCCCCCTCAACTCCTCTTCCTCACCTGCCCCTCTTGTTTCTTGTGGCAGCGCTGGCACTTGTTGCTTGGGTTTGGCTTGACGTTGTTCTGTATGTTTGTCTATGTTTGTCTTATTGTCTGTTTGTTTGTCTGTTTCTGTTTGTTTGTCTGTTTCTGTTTGTTTGTCTGTTTCTGTTTGTTTGTCTGTTTCTGTTTGTTTGTCTGTTTCTGTTTGTTTGTGTATGTGTCTGTGTATGTTTTGTCTGTGTCTGTTTGTCTTTGACTGTGAATTTGTCCATTTTTGTGTGTCTTTCTTTTTTTCTGTGTGTTTGTCTGTGTCTGTGTCTATGTCTGTGCATTTGTGTTTCTGTTTGTATTTGTCATGTCTGTGTCTGTCTGTGTTTGTGTCTGTGTCTGTTTCTATTTGTCTGCATCTGTGTCTACTTTTCTGTGTCCGTGTCTATTTATCTGTGTCTGTGTTTATGTCTGTGCATGTGTGTTTCAATATGTATTTTTCATATCTGTGTCTGTGTCTATGTTTGTCTGCATCTGTGTCTGTATCTATTTGTCTGTATCAGTGTATGTTTGTGTTTTCTTATGCCTGATTTGGTTTCTGGTCAGCCCTCAGATTCTGTGTCACGTGTGACACATGTGTCGGTCACGGTTGGTCACTGTCAGTCACTGTGTCTCACATGCATGTGTCAGAGTGGATCTTGCTACCAATGTCACCGCTTTAAGCATGATGTCACTATGAGAATTCTGCAAAAGCTCATTTCTTTTATGCATTTGTCTTCTCTTATAACGCTGCAAGACAAGTTCAACAGGAAAAGCATAATGGTATTAAATGAATATTATAGGAAACACATGGGTGTTCAATGTACTTAGTTGGAAAAAAAACAAAAGTATTCAGTGGACATCATCATAGTTAAAGCAAAGGGTTTTCGTGTACATCACAGGAAAATGTAAAAGTATTTAATTTACATTATACGAATAGCATACGGATATTCAATAAACATCATAGGAAAAACTTTAAAGTATTTTATTAACATCAAAGGAGAAATATGAGAGTTTGCACTTAAATATAATAGCTGAAAGAGCAAGTTTTATATTATGTCTGTCTTTTGGCACTTTGCTGGTGCATGCTGAAGACATAAGTTCGATTTCTGTGAGGGGAGTTTTCTATCGAGTATTTCATTCTGTCTGTTGGGACATTGTTTCTCTCTCAGCCTGGGTTGGCCCTGACAGGAATGTTTGAAGCAGCTTGCCTTGCGAATGATAAAATGTGTTGATGGGAATGTTAGACACCTACAATTATGGGTTGTAGGATGCGGTGAACTATGTCAGGACTTTGTCTACTCTAGAGGTCTGTTTACTTCAGACCAAGTCCCGAAGAGTATCAGTTCCCAACTCGTGTATATATATAGTGAGTGAGAATTCCTGTCGATCTATGGAGACAGTCAGGTTGTTTTTTTTAACATGATGAAGACAATGTTGTAATTATTTTAGTTGATAGAAATGTCAAAAGGTTTCATTTTTTCAGACATATTTTGTTTTGATGTGTTTGGGGTATGGATTGTTGGTGAAGGAATTTTCTCGTCCCTTTTTCTTTTTCGTCTTCCCCTTTTTGTTTGGGAAATATTGCATCTCTTTGTATATCACTGTCATTCCGAGTGGGCAGAAATGACCCCATACGCTGACCACAGATTTTGCTTTTGTCACTATTTTTTACTCCCCACTATTTGTCTTGCGCATTTTGATTCAGTACGATGTTTGTATCTCAACCGACGGAATGATTGTGGATGATTTGGGTAAACTTTGACTTGACAGACGCGTTTTTGAATCTCACTGGCCATGTCTGATATCTTCACGCTGTAATGTTTGGGTCAGATAGGTATAGGTGAGTTTTTGGTGGGTGCTCTGGTATGATTTGCTTCCTCTTTCCTATCAAACATCTATTATCCTTATCTTTTCTCCTTTTATCAAACAGCTATCCTCCTTATCTCTTCTCTTTCTATCAAACATCTATCATCCTTATCTCTCTTTTTTCTTGTCTTTGTATGTTACTCTTTAGTAACGCCTCAAATCTTTGGCTTTTATACCACCCATTTGTGTTACAAGTGCTGTATAACTATTGCCTAACCTTAACTAAATATTCAAAATATCTGGTGGCATCACTGTATCCTTTCAAACTGGACTGTGCAGAGTATGGTCAGTGCTTTTTCCTCCTATCTGGCAAACTCCTCCCTTTTTGTTGTCAAGTTTTTATTTCTGCATGTGGGGGAAAATGTCTCATCACATTCACACAGTGGATTTTAAAACTTTCTCCTTGCTGGTTTGTAGCCGAGTGGTAGCAGTCACTGGATTCTTGTAGTTTTTGTGTATGTAGACCAGTGTGATGGCTTCACAGATAGCTATAGAGGTCTTTTGTGTTATGTTGATGATAAGAAAATCGGAATAATATCGTAATGGAAAGCTTAATGAAACCAAAGTAAATGTTGATTGATCTTCCGTATTTTACATACATGTTAGTGAAATTCTTTTATCTAAAATTCGGATTGGAAACTTTGTATGGATAATGTGCGTGCTCATGGTGAAGTATCTGCAGTTTGTCCAAACTATAAGAAATCATTTCTATTGTGTTGTGCACTGTTTGTACAACTGGTTTGTAAAAAATTTTTCTGACAAAAAACTCCTTTCTGATTTAAATGATGAGAGAAGACCATGTGTGTGTGTGTGTGGTGTGTATGTGAGTTGCTTTGTGTGTGTTTGTGTGTGTGTGTGTGTGTGTGTGTGTGTGTCCTCACAGATATCTCTCTGTTGCCTCGTTTGACTACTTCTATCTTTCCCCCTCCCACCACTCTCTAACCTTCCCCCTCCCACCACGTCAGGCTCAGAACCAGGCTCGCAACATCGAGCAGCTCAAGTCGGAGCTCCAGGCCAGCAAGTCGAGTGCCTCTGCCGAGATCTCCCGCATGCAGCAGGACAATGACGTCATACGGGAGGACCTGGAGGTCACTCGTGCTGACCTGGCTGAGGGTCGGAGGTCGAACCTGGAGCTGAAGAACACGGTACTGGGACTGACGGAGGATCTCAGCAAGTACAAAAAACTGCAGGATGAGAGTGCTGATGATGTGAGGGTTTTTAAAAATCTTTCTCTCTCTCTCTCTCTCTCTCTCTCTCTCTCTCTCTCTCTCTCTCTCTCTCTCTCTCTCTCTCTCGACTCTCTCGACTCTCTCTCTCTTTCGCTTTCCCTCTCCCTCTCCCATTTTACATTGAAAATGTGTCCCATGTATTGTGTATAAGCCTTACATACCCACTCATACAGCATACCAGTTTAAAGCTAAATGAATCTGCATTATCTGATACATTAATGCTACAACCACAGTAAGATTTGCTGCCCAAGATATGATCTCTCAAAATTTACCTTTAAAAATCAGCCCTGTTGAAATTGGAGAAACTGAAAAGTGTGTTTGCTATTATGTTAGTTGGAATGGACATGTATTGCATATCAAATAAATGGAGAATTATATCCCCACAATGAATAATGTTTTTATTAAGATACAGCATACTTTCGAACAGATTAGAAAATTATTCAGTCATAAATATCTCATAAAAATTAGACCTAACAGTAAATGTGTTCGTCAGTATTTTGTTTTCTAGTCAGTGGTTCAGTGCAGAGTATGAACTCTTTTTTTTATCAAAATTGTCCAAGACGGCCGCCCATTGTCTAGAAGAAAAGTGGTGTCTTAGACAGGGGGCATATTGGACCATTTAATTGTAAGAGTATTAAAAAAATTGGGGGAAATGGGAAGTGGTCATTTGTACAGGTAAATGTGTAGGACAAGGTGGCCGTTACAGCATCTTTGACTGATTGTATTATATCTGGGTTTTTTCTCTCCCGTCCAGATACGACGTCAGAGTGAACAGTTGAAGGAACAGGAGACCATTCTGAGTGAGACCAGACAGCAGCTGTTTGTGTCGCAGGGACAGCTGGAAGTGGCCAATCAGGTACCTTTACAGTGACAGTCTACAGCAACAAGCTGTTTGATTGGTTGAATTTTTGTTAATAGCTGGATGCAACCAATCAGATACATACACTTGTACTTCTCAAATGGCTATTTTGATTGGTTCTGTTTTGTTATTGGACAAGACTTTCATTATTTTCTTCTCTCCTATCAAATATCTATCATCCTTATCTCTCTTTGTTCTTTTCTTTGTATGTTACTCTCTAGTAACACCTCTAATCTTTAGCACTTGTATGAAATATTTATGTTATAAGTGTGGTGAACCTCTTTCTAAAATTAAAACTATTGTTTGTATTGATGATGTTTGTCTAATTGTGTGTCTGTGCTTATCTGTCCAGACGGTGGAGAAGCTCGAATCATCTCTAAGTAGTCAGAAGCAAAAGTTGAACCAGGCCAGCGCACAGATAGGCCACCTGGAGTCAACCGTCGGGTCACTGCAGGAGAAACTGACGGAGAGCAGGAGTAGGGTAGGTGGTACTTACTTACACACACACTCGCTCAACTTGCACACATATATATGTACGCTCACATACACACATGCATATACACATGCGTACACTCACATTTGCACATATAAACACAAGCACATGCACACACATATGCACACACACACACACACACACACATACACACACACACACACACACACACACACACACACACACACACACACACACACACACACACACGCATATACGTACACACACACACACACACACACACACACACACACCAATCACCCCACCCTCCCAACTCTGATTTTTTAGGGAGGATTCTGAGCAAAACTCCTGTTTTTGGTCATAGCAGGTCAGAAATTGGGTCAATGGGGGCTTTCAATATCTACAAATACTTTTTTCTCAGAAGCTCTCAACATTCTACAAATACTTTTTCTCAGAAGCTTTCAACATCTACAAATACTTTTTTCCCAGGAGCTTTCAACATCTACAATTTTTTTTTTCATAGGAGCTTTCAACATCTACAAGTACTTTTTTCCCAGGAGCTTTCAGCATCTACAATGTTTTTTTCCATAGGAGCTTTCAACATCTACAAGTACTTTTTTCCGGGGGCTTTCAACATCTACAAATAATTTTTTGTTCCTAGGGGCTTTCATCATCTACAAATACTTTTTTCTCTGGGGCTTTCAATATCTACGAATACTTTTTTTCCTAGAAGCTTTCAACATCTGCAAATGTTTTTTACACAGGAACTGGACAAAGAACAGACAATAGAGCAGCAGAGGTCTGAGCTGGAGGGCCTGGATCGAGCCTTCTCGGAGAGCAAGGAGGAAGTGGGCAAGTGTGAGGACATGATCCATCAGCTGACCCAGGAGCTGGACAGCACGCAGCGAGAGCTGGGGGCCACACAGACCAGGGTCAAGGACTTGGAGGAGGCCAACAGGGAGCTCAGGGACCGGGTGCAGGAGGCCAAGCATGAGGTGAGGTAGAGGAGACGGCAGAGACAGTTTGTGTGGCATCGTGGTGAAATCAGAGGCTCGTCGAAATAATGAAATTGAAGAAAATTTTGTAGAATTCTTTTTTTGGCTCAGCTCCTTTAATGTCCATTTTAAAACTCATTTCTGTTTGGATTTTAATAAAAAAAAGGTTGATCAAAGACACAAAAAAAGTAAATTTACAGTTTTCAAGAACACTCTAGGTTTGGAATTCACCAAACTTTGGCGGCGATATTTTCACTGATTTTACCCCTGAAACCAGTTGATGCCCACCTCCGTCTATCATAAAAGCACTGTTCAGAATGGATGGGTATTTTTTTTCAACCAAAATAAGACAAATAATCAAGCTTTAAGACTGTACCAATAACTGCATATACACAAATATTAACGAGTGCCTGATTCCACCATATCGTGATACATATCATTGATATACATGATGGTTGAGTGCACGACATTTCTGATGGTATTCTGTTGTTCCATTGCTAAATCTATCTTGTGTGGTTTGCTCCTTTTTTCCAATTCAAATATGTTTCGGTCTTATTTCTCTTCCTTCTTTTCTTTGTATGTTACTCTTTAGTACAACTTCTAATCTTCAGCACATATATGACCTAGCTGTGTTACGAATGCTGTAAAAACTACAATTAAACTAAAACTTTGTGATGTCTCCCCAACAGGCCCTACAGAACGACGAGCGAGCACACAACTTTGAGAACAAACTTCTGAACTATCAGACAGAGCACAGCCACACAGACAGAGAGGTCAGTGTGTGTGTGTGTGTGTGTGTGTGTGTGTGTGTGTGTGTGTGTGTGTGTGTGTGTGCATGTGAGTGTGTGTGTGTGCCTGTGAGTGTGTGTGTGTGCATGTGAGTGTGTGTGTGTGTGTGTGTGTGTGTGTGTGTGTGCGCGCACGCGCGTGCATGCGCGAGAGAAAGAGAGAGAAAGAGAGGGGGGGAACGGAGGGAGGGAGGAATGGAGAGAGAGGGTGAAGACTCGTTAGTGACCCATCAAACATATATTGTCCTTATCTTTCAGCCATTCTTTCTTTGTAAGTTACTCTCTAGTAACACATCTAAATTTTGGCACTTATATGACCTATTTGTGTTGCAAGGGCCGTAAAAACTCTAACTAAAACTAAATTGTGTCCACTTAGTCCACTATATGAGTCAATTAAGTTCACTGTGTCCCTTGTGTCCAGTTCGCAGAGAAGGAGGACCAGATCGCCGGCCTGGAGTACCAGCTAGAGGAGGCTCGAAGCGAGATTGAGCTCAAAGGTCGCACCGTGGAGCAGCTGAAGGCAGACCTTGACCTGACCCAGTCTGACCTCCAACAGGTCAAGGACGACAAGAGTACGGCGCTGACAGAGGTAGGCTGGGGGTTGTGTATGGGAGGGGGGGTGCGTGTGTGTGTGTGTGTGTGTGTTTGTGTGTTTGGGGGGGGGGGTGTTTGTGTGTGTGTTGTGGTTGGGGAGGGGGGTGTAGAGATATGTGTATATAGTATAGCAGAGACAGAGGTAGGCTGTGTTATTGTGTGTACATGTTTTTCTATACACTGGACCAACTTTATTTTGTTCTCTCAGAGTGGATGGTTTGCGAGTGCCCTGGTGTGGTTTTCTATTTCTTTCCTACTTAACATCTGTTGTTCTTTCCCTCCTCCTTTTTATTTTGTGTATCCTTCTTTCTAGTAAGGTTTTACTTTTTAGCACTTTTATAAATTAACTGTGTTGCAAGTGCCATGAAAAACTCACTGAATACTTTTTTGTAAAACCTCTAATCTTTGACACTTGTATAACTTAATTGCATTGCAAGTGCTGTGAAACTCTTACTAAAACTAAGTTATCTCTCACATCTATGTCTGCCCAGATTGAACGCCTGGAGCAGAATGTCCAACAGCTACAGCTCAACCTAAGCTCCGCCCACCAGCGCCACAAGAGCGAGACATGTCGCTATGACGACCTGGTGGCCACGCTGGAGCGACAGCTGTCAGACGTGAAGGCGGGGCTATCGGGGGCGGAGCTTCAGCTGAACAACAAGGAGGAACAGATACAGAGGAACGAGGCGGAGATTGCGTCTTGTCGGGACGACATACACAGTAAAGTGGAGGAGGTGGGTCATCTCTCTTCTGTGTGTGTTTGTGTGTGTGTGTGTGTGTGTGTGTGTATGTACATGTGTATGTGTGTGGGGGGGAAGTGTGTGTTTGTGTGTATGTATGGGGTGTGTGTGTTTGTTTGTGCTTGTGTGTGTGGTGTGTGTGTGTGGGGGGGGGGGGGGGGGGTTGAGGGGGATACATGTGTGTGGGTGTGTGTTTGTGCATAGATATGTCTGTTATTGTTCCATCAGAAATAACTTTTCTAAAAGATTACACCACTGCCTTATCCTTTTTCTCCCCTCCAATTCTCCCAAAACATAGATATTTAGCTATATTAGAGCCACATGTTCTATAGCCTTATATATTCCCTGCCACTCTCCTCCCCCTATATTTACATTTACGCATAAGTATTAAAAGTTACTACTTTTGATCTCTATCCTTTTCGAAGACCCCCTCCACTTCTCGTCCAACCTTCACTCCTACCCCCATCCCTCATCTCCTCCCCCCCTTTCACCTCCCACTAACGTGTCTGTGTGTGTATGTTGTACAAATAGAGAAGTTAGAACATTATGCGTCATCATAATGTGTTCTGTGTGTATATGTGTTGTACAGATAGAGAAGCTGGAGCGAGCTGCCCACGAGGTCAAGCTAGAGATGGCTCAACTCAACTCTCACAACAAACAGCTGGACGCTTCTGTGAGTACTCTATTCTGTATCTGTCTGTCTGTCTGTCTGTCTGTCTGTCTGTCTGTCTGTCTGTCGGTCCTTCGGTCTGTTCAGTGTCAGTCTGTGTGTCTGTCTTTCTGTCTATACTATCTTTTGTACATTTGACTTCTGTTGAAATGACTTTGTACGTTCATATTCATAGTGGGTGGTTGGGTGGTGCTCTGATATGGTTTGCTCCTTCTTTCATGCCGAACTTTTGTCGTAATAATCTCTTCTCTTTCTTTTTTATATTATTTACTCATTTATAACTTGTCTAATCTTCTGCACTTTTATGACCTAATTGTGATGCAAATGCTGTAAAAATCTTACTGAAACTGAAATCAAACTGGCCCATGTGTCTGTCCAGATTGAGGACCTGAAGTCAGAGACAGAGAGCCTGAGGAGAGAGCTGGGAGAGTCGAGGACACAGTACAAGGACTGTGCTCAGGAGGTCAGTGCTACACACATACACCCACCCACACACACACACACACACACACACACACACACACACACACACACACACACACACACACACACACACACACGTAAACACACACACATACATGCAAACACACACACACAAACACTCACACAGACACATCACACACCCTCACACACTCACACACACACATATGCACACACACATATTCACACACACACATGTACCCACTCACACACAAACATACACATACACACATGTACACACACATACTCACACACATACATACACACAGGAGAGGGTTACCTGACCTGCCTCATGGGTAGAGACTGTTTTTTGCTTTTGAAAAGTTGGCAGCTGTTACACATGTGTAAAGTGCAAAGACATGTGACCTCTGTGTGTGTGTGTGTGTGTGTGTGTGTGTGTGTGTGTGTGTGTGTGTGTGTGTGTGTGTGTGTGTGTGTGTGTTTGTGTGTTTGTGTTAGTGTGTGTGTGTGTGTTTGTGTGTTTGTCGTCAAATGACACACGTGTCGTGACCTGTGTGTTCACCAGCTGGCCCACCATGAGGAGAAGCTGAGCCTGATGGAACAGAGCCTTCAGACGACGCAGGAGGAGCTGAGTCAGAGGGTCACCGAGGTCGTCAGGCACGAGCAGAGCACCAGGAAACTGCAGGTCAGAGGTCACCATCTTCTCTCCGGGCTGGGGGGTGGGTCATGTGGGTGACAAAAGAATTGAAGCATTTATTTGTACTTTTTGTGCCGATGTTAATTATTTATACTCGTGAAATATGGTTGAGATGTTTTTCTACACCATCTGTGAAATATATTTTTACTTGCTCACAAATATTGTGAATGGACTGTAAGCTTTATCATGGGTGTTTGGTGGGTGCTCAGGTGTGGTTCACTTCTTCTTTCCTATCAAACATCTATTGTCATAATCTCTCTCCTTCTCCTTTTCTTTAAAGGTTACTCTCTTGTAAAACTTCTAATCTTCAACATTTATGTGGCATATTAATGTTGCAAGTGCTGTAAAACTTACTTAAACAAAGACAAGAAGCTTTATCAAAACAAACCACAACTTATTCACTTCACTTCTTTACCCGTTCCTTGCGTAGGCGGAGCTGAAGTCGGTCAGTGAGAGAGCTGAGGGCCAAGAGGAAGAGCTGAAGGAGCAGAAGAGCCTCCTAGGAAAACTGCGCAAGGAGCTGATGTCTGCCAAGGAGGACTACCACGGTGCCGTGCAGGAGGGTGTGGCCTACAAGCAGCAGGCACACAAGGCGGAACTCGAACTCTCTGGGGCCCGCGAGCAGGAGAAGATGCTCTCTGATCAGGTGAACTTTGAACTTTTGACATATGTGCCTCTCCTGCATGTGAACTTTAAAGATTTACTTCCTGAGATGTGAACTTTGACCCAACTTGATATGTGAGATTTGTTAAAGTTGGCACTCCCTGATATGTAAACTTCAATGAACAGATTTAAGTTATATATTATGTGTAGTGTGTCGTGTGGGGTGTATCACGTGTGGTTTGTAGTGTTGGGTGTATCGTGCGTCATGCACCATGTGTCATGTATGGTATGTCATGGGTCATGTGTGATGTGACATGTGTCATTCATCATGCGTTATTAGTCACATGTGTCATGTGTCCTCAGGTGGAACAGCAGGAACAGATCCTAGGCCAGCTACAGGTGGAGCTGCGTGCTGAGCGAGAGCGACACGGCGACACGGTCAGACAGCTCAGCGCCAGCAAGAAGTCAGGCCTTGACCTTCAGTCTGACCTTGAGGCTCTGCACAAACAGATGCACGACGCCCAGGACAGGGTGAGTGAGATGTGACGGGTGATTGGGTCTGGGTGGTTGGTGGGTGCTCTGGATTTGCTCCTTGTTTTATATCTAACGTCTATCGTCCTTATCTCTCCCCCCTTCTTTTCTTTGTATGTTACTCTCTTGTAATGCCTTTAATCTTCAGACACTTACATGACCTTATTGTGTTGCAAGTGTTAAAAAAGTCTTACAAGAAATCACTCTATTGCCATGTTGTTACTGTCTCTCGGTGTAGCTTTTTCCAGGCACTTAATGGCAGTTGTTGTGTGGATGTGCTTTTCTTTGCCCAGTCAATTAGACAAACTATATTCTCTATTTTGTCCGGTCCCATCTCGTCTTTTAGACCCACTTCCTCTCTCCCCTCCTCTTGTCTACGCTTCTCTCCTCTCCTCTCTTTCTCCACTCCTCTCATCCTGTCTCTCCTCTCCTCCCCTCCCCCCTCCTCTTTTCCCTTTTCCTCCCTTTTTCTCCCCTTTCCTCCCCTTTCCATTCCACTCCCCTCTCCTCTTCTGTTTTTTCTCTCCTCCCCTCCTCTCTTTTTCTTCTCCTCTCCTCTCGTCCCCTTTCCTCTCTTCTCCTTTCATTTCCTCTCCTGTCCTCGCCTTTTCTTATCCCATCTTATTTCATCTTGTCGCGTTTCATCTCGTTTCATCTCATTTCGTCTCATCTCATTTCATCTACCCCCGGGGCAGTGCCACTGACTGAAGTGTCTTTAGGCCATTCCCGAAGGGGGGACATTTCTCGTTCAAGCATAGTAGAATTGTAAATGGGCTGACTCATGTCACGCTCATAACTGTGCCTGATCTACAACAGGGAACTGCTGCTTTTTCTTTCCTGATCCTTACTATTGTCATTTTCCTCTACTTCTTTTGTATGTTTGTCACTCTCTTGTGACCTGCTAATTCCGGGGTGCCTTGATAGTCGAAGCAGACCTTGTGGTGTTGAAGCTAGAGAGGTGAGCAGTCTAAGTCTGATCCCCTGTAAAGACTTCTCTGTTGACACCCACCCCTTGGCGCTCATATGACCTTATGCAGTTGCGAGCACCATAAAACCCTCTACTATATATATATATATGTATCATTTCGTCTTCTCTCATCTCGTTCCCACTTTTAGGTGAAGGCTCGCGAGGAGCAGCTGGCCCGCTCCCGTCACGAGATGGAAGAACTCCAGCGAAAGATCCGGGAACTGAACGAGGTTTTGGCCGAGAGAGACGGACAGCTCAAGCTGCTCAACATGAACCTGCAGACAGCTCAGAAACAGGCGAAACACCACACACAGGAGGTCAGTGTGTTGGTGTGTGTATGTGTGGGGGTGTGTGTGGGTGGGGGTGTGTGTCTGTGCTGTGTGTATGTGTGTGTGTGTGTGTTTGTATGTGAGTGTGGGTAAGGGTGGGAGTGGATGTGTGTGTGTGCAGGGGATGTATGTGTGTGTGTATTGTGTGTTGTGTGTGTTCATGATGTGTTTTTGAGTTTATGAGTGTCGGTGGTTAGCAAGTGCCGTGACGTGGTTTGCTTCTTCTGTTCTATCAAACTTCTATCATCTTTATCTATCCTCCTTTTATTTGCATGTTACTCTCTAGTTACACTTCTAATCTTCAGCACTTGTATGACCTAATTGTGTTGCAAGTGTTATAAAACTCTTACTAAAACTAAAATCTCCAACAGATTGCCCGCTATGAAGACACTCTGGCCCAGCTTCAGACAGACCAGGAGAAACTGCAGGAACAGAATCGCAAGACCAGCTCAGATGTGAGATTTTTTAAAGCACATTTTTCCTCTCTGTCATTCCTCTTGTTCTGTTCTTCTCATTTGGTCTCGTCTCTTTTTGTCTTATTTTCTCCTTTTGTTTCTTTCCTTCTTGCTAGTCTTTTTTTTTTCTTCTTATCACTTTTCTTTCTCTGTATTTAATTTTTCAATTGCTGTCATTACTTTGCTGTTTATTAAAAGGTAGACTGATAAGATAAAATAAGATGAGATGAGATGACATATATGATATGTATAGTCTGTCACAGCTGAAGGAGCCTGTGTGCAGAAGATAAGATAAGATAAGATACACTGTGTGTACACTTTGAAATATCTGATGGGGACTGTTGATCTCCATGTGTCCCTGTGTGTATGAGCTGATGTGAAAAAGCAAGATGAGATAGATAAAAGTTGTCATCATCAAGTGTCATCATCTGTGACAGACATCGGTGATGATGGTCTGCCATTCATTCCTTTGCTTGAATGCTCTCAAAAAGCTTGTACTGTCCTGATCTTTCCCCATCACCCATCTGTTTAGGCTCTCTATGTAAGTTGATCTAGGGCTACCTCTGCTTTATTTACCTTCAGTGTTACCAGTGAGAGCTGATGCTAGACGTTCAAGACCCTTGTGTCTATTTAAGTGTCCCAGAAACTGCTTTTGTGTCTTCCTTGTTGTTTTTTTCAGCGAGCAGCCCGCATGGGCTTTGGACTACAAATAAGATAAGTTCTATTGTATGTATATTATGTGACAGCTGATGGAGGCTGACAGCAAAGTTCACGAACTGAAGGTCCAGCTGACCACTGTTCACGGCAACCACAAGGAGGCCATGGAACAGTTAACAGACAAGTCACGGCAGTTGGCCGCCGTCAAGACGGACGCAGCGAAACTGGGACAGCAGAATAACTCCATGAGGGAGGAGGTGAGGAAGCGAAAGGGAGGGAGGGATGTGGCAAAACTAAGACAGAAGAACAATTCTTTGAGGGAGGAGGTGAAGAGATGAGGGAGAAAGGGAGAGCGGGGGACAGCCGAACTGGGAGAGTAAACTTTTTCTATAGGGGAGGAGATGAGGAGGGTAGAGGGAAGGAGGAAAGAGGGAGGGATATGGCAAAGCTAGGAAAGTAAAATAACTGTATGAGGTAGGAGGTGAGGAGGGGAGGGGATTTAGAGGGAGGAGGGAAGAGAGGGAGGGGGGAAAAGATGGAGGGAGAAAGGTGGCCAAACTAGGACTTTAGAATGACACTGACTGTGATATCCCCAGATCATGATGTACGATGAGAAGCTGCGCAAGATGCAACAGGAGTTGAGAAAGACACAGGAGATAAACCGTGCCACGGAGGAGGAGGTATAACCAGCCTGTCCCCTCTTGTACAACTAGACCGTCCACTCTTGTGTCTTTTCTGCCTCCTACCTATTCTGTCCTCTTTTTGTTTTTGTTTTTATCATTCTCTTGAATGTTCCTTTTCTTTCTCCCATCTATTTTTGGCTGTGGGTTACAGAAACCTGAAGAAGAGCACCCAGTTGTCTATTGATCATTTATGCTGGAGCAAGGCATCGAACTAAGTTCTTTGACATGAGAGTCAAATACTTGCCATACTACTTTCGAGCCCCAAAATGTACACAAACTGGGAATCAAACCAAATCTTTTCAAACACTCATCATGCCTTATATGAGTCCCAGCATTTCTATGAACTGGGAATCAAACCAAGTCCTTTGGCATCAGAGTTAGACATCTACCACCCAGCGAACAGGCCTGACCTTTTTCTAGAGCATTTCTGTCCCCTCGGAGATTCTAACTACACTTTGATCTAGTTTGCTGGTAAATAGAGGAGTTTAATTTTACCATGCCGGTGGTTGATGGGTGCTCTGGTGTGGTTTGCTCCTTTCCTGTCTAACATCGATCGTCTTTATCTCTCCTCCTTCATTTCTTTGCATGTTATTCCTATAATCTTCAACGTTTATATGACCTATTTGTGTTGCATTTGCCCTAAAACTGTTATTTGAACTAATCTAAGATGGGCTATATTTGATTGCTTAGTGTAAGCCTCCTCTATCTGCCATTTTGAAAAGTGAGGTATGATGGACTCTTACAGTGGGCCGTCAATTTGTCCATAAGAGTATTCCTCTGCTCCTGACTCACCCAATCTTTTCTTCTCTCTATTCTCCTGTCGGATTTACTCAGCTGCAACACTTTGAGGAGCGCTACACGAGCCTGCAGGTGGACCTGGTGTCGAGCCAGGAGAAGCAGAAACACTCGCTGCAGGAGCTGTCGGCCAAGGAGGAGGAGATGGTGGTGCTGAAGGTGGAGCTCAGTTCGCTACAGGAGAAGTACAAGGCTGCTACTGAGGAGGTGTGTGTGTGTTGTTAATCACACCTGTTCAGGGGTAGGGGCAGGGGGGAGGGGAGGGGATTAGAAGTACAAATCTACTACAGAAGAGGTCAGCAGTCTATGCTGTTTCTTGCACCTACTCTGGGGAGGTTGACAGTACATTACACATCGTGGAGAGTAAGTTGCTAGTCACTGTGTCTATTGTTTTGTCACATTCACAGATCTTACCATAGGAAAAGATTTCAGCAGACATATATTGTTGGCAGCGGGTTAGAGGTGATTATGTCCTTTCACCTTGTATTGAAGGAATGGATTCTTAAGGCAAGGCTTAAAAGGCAACTCTTGGACATTTGCACATTGGGAATTGCGATTGTGGCAGAACTATTGGCTAGATTTATTTAATAATTAAAGATGTGATGCAATATCGTTTGAATGCCTCTATTATGCTATATTTGGCATTTTGGTTAAAATAGACTTTGTCACTATTGGCTCAGCCTACAAGTTTTTTATCCTGTCTGTTCCAGTCTGTATCATCCTGTATAATTTCTCTTCCCCTGTGTGTTCCAAATTTCTCTCCCTCCTTTTTTGATTCCTCATACCCCTGTGTGTTCCAGTCTGGCAAAGTCCTGAATGAGCTGGAGTTGATGAAGCAGAACTACCGCAGCGCCAACGAGGAAATCTCCGGCCTGAGGGTGGCCCTGGAGGAGTCGCGGGCGAATGGTGACCGGCTGCACCGAGAGAGCGAGTTGGTGGTTCACAACGTCAACACCTGGGTGCAGGAGCAGAAGTGTGTAGCTAGCGAGTCTGTCTTCCAGGGGGTGGGACTGGGGCCCATACGATACAATGATGAAGGGGACAGAGAGGTCCATTTTCTGGCTCTGGGTGGCGGGGACAATGTTAGTGTCAGTCCACCGACGAGACGAAGAGTTGGGCACCGCTGAGAGTCAATGTGTCTACATCTCTGTCTACATTGAGAGTTGATGTGTCTACATCTCTGTCTACATTGAGAGTTGTTGTGTCTATATCCTTCTTAATCTGTCTACATTGAGAGTTGTTGTGTCTATATCCTTCTTAATCTGTCTACATTCAGAGTTGTTGTGTCTATATCCTTCTTAATCTGTCTACATTCAGAGTTGGTGTGTCTATATCCTTCTTAATCTGTCTACATTCAGAGTTGGTGTGTCTATATCCTTCTTAATCTGTCTACGTTCAGAGTTGGTGTGTCTATATCCTTCTTAATCTGTCTACATTCAGAGTTGATGTGTCTATATCCTTAATCTGTCTACATTCAGAGTTGATGTGTCTATATCCTTCTTAATCTGTCTACATTCAGAGTTGATGTGTCTATATCCTTCTTAATCTGTCTACATTCAGAGTTGATGTGTCTATATCCTTCTTAATCTGTCTACATTCAGAGTTGTTGTGTCTATATCCTTCTTAATCTGTCTACATTCAGAGTTGTTGTGTCTATATCCTTCTTAATCTGTCTACATTCAGAGTTGTTATGTCTATATCCTTCTTAATCTGTCTACATTCAGAGTTGTTGTGTCTATATCCTTCTTAATCTGTCTACATTCAGAGTTGTTGTGTCTATATCCTTCTTAATCTGTCTACATTCAGAGTTGTTGTGTCTATATCCTTCTTAATCTGTCTACATTCAGAGTTGTTGTGTCTAAAACATCTCTCGATTCTTTATCTGCCCTTTATCTACTATATCGATCTGAACCAGTTATGGGCAATCATGCTCAAGTCACAGGTCAGGTCAAGCCATTCTGAATATCTCATGGGTCAAAGCGGGAGAAAATTTGGTGATATCGGTTGGAATACTCAAGCTCCCAAACCCGAGACTGCCACTGACACAATAGCATATATTACTCCAGGCCGTTTCATGAGATAAAATATTAGATTTCTTACTTCCAGGTGGGCCATAGACTAAAACTTTTGATTTCCTAGACGGACAGTTTTGTTTTTAAAAATTATCAACTGATCATGGGGCCATATACATTATTTATCAGTGGGTTGACTTGTGGACTAGAATGGAACTGCTAGGGGACACTATCTATCCTGTTAATATGGGGGTTGGGGGGGGGGGGTGATTTAGCTGATGCAGATTTATTTTGTTTTATATTCTGTTGATATGACACCTTTCACCCATATGGCCTTGTCTCATAAAAGGTGTCGATTGTGTCGGTAAGGATGTCAAACGTTTACAGTGACCGAGATGACTTAATGGGGGAAAGCAAATTCTGCTAAGACATTCACAAACTTTGACTCTTTACTTTTTCAAAATTTCCTGACTTGACTTTACTTCCCACCTCAAGTTTGTCCCAACTGAATAACGATATACTACATCAGATTGTGCAACACAACACACAACACGATGTATTGCATCACAACACAACACGGTGCATGTACAGTATGGAATGTATTTGCGCATTTGTTATAGTGACAACAACATCTCTTGTACTGATACAATGGTATGATGTTTGACCAAGGTAAATAAGAATAAACAGCAACAAAAGCCTCAAAAACTCTTGCCACTGTTGTGCTCTCTTTTCTTGTTTTTGACTTTGGAACGTTTTTCCTGATTGTATTCATGATTGCAAAGTTTAAACATTCCTCTTTGATTTGATATTTGTTTGCGGAAAAATTGTAGAAAATTAAGAAATGTTTTTCTAAGGTTGCACTGGCATTATAAGTT